TACAGACCCGGGAACTCAGCACAGGGATGGTGGGAGCTCCTCATAATGGGCACAGCGGGTGTACAGACCCGGGAACTCAGCACAGGGATGGTGGGGGCCCCTCATAATGGGCACAGCGGGTGTACAGACCCGGGAACTCAGCTCAGGGATGGTGGGGGCTCCTCATAATGGGCACAGCGGGTGTACAGACCAGGTTGTATTATCACATGATATATTATCATCTTCTGGGATGGTGGGGGCCCCTCATAATGGGCACAGCGGGTGTACAGACCCGGGAACTCAGCACAGGGATGGTGGGAGCTCCTCATAATGGGCACAGCGGGTGTACAGACCCGGGAACTCAGCACAGGGATGGTGGGAGACCCTCCTGGGAACTCAGCACTGGGGTGGTGGGGGCCCCTCATAATGGGCACAGCGGGTGTACAGACCCGGGAACTCAGCTCAGGGATGGTGGGGGCTCCTCATAATGGGCACAGCGGGTGTACAGACCTGGGAACTCAGCACTGGGGTGGTGGGGGCCCCTCATAATGGGCACAGCGGGTGTACAGACCCGGGAACTCAGCTCAGGGATGGTGGGAGCTCCTCATAATGGGCACAGCGGGTGTACAGACCCGGGAACTCAGCACAGGGATGGTGGGAGACCCTCATTAAAGCATTTGAAAATGTTTTTGTTTTGGCAATTATTGGCACAGAGTCAATGTTTAGAGGTGTCCACACGTTAAAAACAGCCCTGTAAATGGACCCCTAGGTATTTGAGTTTGGACCCCCCCCCTTGCATGCAACCGTTTACCATACTGATAGCTGCCCATGCATCCTTCACCCTGTGACGAGTGATCATCATTTTACTTGGTACAATGTTTTAATAAAATAAATCCCTTTTCTGTTTTATTATTAGGTTGACAAATGCGCAAATTTTTTAAATTTTTTTATTTGTAATTAATTTGTATTATTGTTCACATTGTAACGGCTAGTTCTGTATGTAAAGTTCTAACCCCGCCCCCATGCCATATAAAAAAATGAAGTGTCCGATGCAAATCATGGATGTCGTACTTTTTGCTTTGCAGAGACTCTAAAGAGACTTCTCAGATTTTGTTGTCCGTGTGCTGGCCGCACCCCATTCCCGCTATATCCATTGTACTGTAAGACTCCTCCCCCTCCGCACCGCTATCTGCTCTTCACTGTGCACTGCCTCCTGTGTCCTGTCTATGATATCGGTGATTGACAAGTTAATTCCGTGTATCCAGGTGCAGATGGAAAGCTGCAATCACATCATTCACATACTACTCCACCATAATACACAAGGGAGTGTTGGGTCTATTGTGTGTCTGTCGTCAGGGTCACAAGTAATGCAAGGATGGGGGGATAGGGATTGGGGGGGTCCTACTGAATTCAAAGGAAGACCCCTTTACATTGGGGAAAGGATGATTGATCAATTGGTGACCGTTATTCTTTCTGCATTGAGTGGCGCCATCCATTTGCCACCGCAGCACCCACCTGTTCATAGGGACTCATGAGTTAGGAGCATGATGGCCTTTAGACATGAACCCTTTACATTGGGGCCCCAACCAATCCATTTCCAAACACAGGGGAATGGATCAGAGGAAGGACCACCCCAACACGGGGTGAGAAACTAATGCTGGGCTCTCTTATCAAAAGTCCCATAGTGCTTTTCAGTGCCATGGCAGCTCTGTGTAATAAAGACCTTCTTACAGTGCAGTCAGAGACCACCTGAGATTGAGAAACTGATGGACCAGGACTGCAGTTTAGAGGTCACTCTTCTGAATCCAGGGCAGTCCCCAATTGCTGATATATCTGCAGGGCTGTCCCTATAATGAGGCTGTTTGCCTCAGGTGGCATCTCTTTGGGTCACATGGGAGGGTGGTAGGCAGAGCAGCATGTGCCTGCCATCCCCTTTCTAGCCAGGCTGCTAAGAGCCAGGCGGGAGATTTGTAAGGGCCATTCAGATCTCCCCGCCCAACTCTTGGCAACCTGGGAAGCTCTGGCCGGTGAGCTGCCCAGCTCCTGGCAACTAGTAGCAGGGAGGTACACTGGCCAGAGCTTCCCAGGTTGTAAGAGCTGTTCCAGGAGCAGGGCCTGCCAAACCCCCCC